ACTCACCTCAGCCTCCCAAAGGCGCGGGATTACAGGCTGAGCCACCGAGCCTGGCCAGGTACATTTTCAATAGGGAAGCTTTAGGAAGCATTTAGACATTTAACTGCAGGCCAAGCTGGCAGCCTACCCCACCCCCTTGGCAAATCTCCAACAGATTTAGGACAAGAACAGCCAAACCATTTAATTTATGGTTTAGCATGATAATCTCTAAGAAACTTTCAGGTCCCTTAGCTGGCCGAAGCCATAGAAATGATAACAAGACCACCTTTTTGCTAAAGAAGATTGTGGATTAGAAACATCTGACAAGCGGGGCTCGGTGGCTCAGCCTGTAATCTCGCACTTTGGGAGGCTGAGGTGAGTGGATAGCCTGAGCCCGTGGGTTCGAGACCCGCCTGGTCAACTTGGCCAGACCTCATCTCTACAATAGATCAAAAAATTAGCCGGGCGTGGTAGCACGCACCTGTAGTTCCAGCTACTTGGAAGGCTGAGGCGGAAGGATCGCCGGAGCCCAGCAGGTCGAGCGGTGGCCGGGAACAGCCATTGCACTCCAGTCTGGGTGACAGAGTGAAATTCCAACTCAAAAAACACAAGAACAACAACAACAACAAAAAGAAACGTCTGACAGGTCTCTTTCAGGAAAATCCCCTCCCCTTGTCTCCTCCCATTTAGCCCACCACCAGAGGGCATGAGATGCTAATGTCTGGGGAAGTCAAGATCTAAGGCGCCTGTGGCTACAATCAACGTCAAGGACCTACAGCCCTGGACATTCCTCTTGGCTCAGACCCCTCCAGGCCCAAACCCCTCCTTGCCCCAGAGGCCTTTAAATATACCTGGTTCTAAGGCCAGGCGCAGTGGTTCAAGTCTGTGATCTCAGTTCTTTGGGAGGCCAGGATGAGAGGATTGCCTGAACTAGACCAGCCAGGGCAACTTGGTGAGACCTCGTCTCTACAAGTAAAAAAAATAAATAAATAAATAAAAATGTAGTTCTTGGCCCTTTGAGGGCACACTTGCCTCTGAGTGTGGGCCCCCTTTCCAATCTGTGAAAGGTGAATGACAAACTTTACTTCCTTCTACTTCTTCTTTGGTTGCAATCTTGCGTTATTCCTGCAGTACCAGCTCCAGCCCACCTCACCTCAGTTTAACCTTTTTTTTTTTTTTTTTTT